GCCATTTCTAGGCAGCTGGTTTTAGCAAACAAAAGCTCTGATACACCAATATACAGACAGACAAATGTAGTGATTAGCTGATGAACATAGTGGAGTATTTAGCAGCTAAAGAGCTATCCATTTCCCTGTAGAACAAAACAGAGTGAATATATAATGAGCTTAATAATTGTCAGGTGGACAGAATCAACAGTCCAGATGAATACTTGTGTTGCTCCATATCTCCTGGATGTGTATGTAAATAAGCATCTGTTTGGCACATCAAGGCAAGCGGTGATGATTTGTCTGTTCTGTTAACAGCTTGTAACCTCATCAAACTAGAATATTGTACATTAGCATTTACAACAAAGATCATGAAGAATAATAAACACTGCAAGCGATGACTTTGACTCCCAGTCGGTCAGTTAGATGGAGCTTGATAAAGTGTTTCTAATGTTGAGACTAAGGATCGTGTTTTGCAAAAACTATTCACAAACATTGCTGTCATATCCTTTCTGTTGAGTTTTTCTTCATCTGTACAAGTCGAGATCTTTCTAGTTGTGATGAGTTTGTTTATTAAACAGAATATCTAAATAACTAACATCTGTTTTAATTGTTTTCTGTCACAGCCAGGCTAGATGGCACTCTGCACAAGAAGGGGATGACTCCGAGACTGCTGTTTTTGTCGAGCCACTGGAAGGAGCCGTCACTCGAGTAAGGCTTGATTAATGCCCTGTACCATCTAATTTGTCATGTTAATAACTGTAAAATGAAAGACTTAGGAGCTGAATGCTTCCTCTGGCTTTGTGTTTCTACTCTGGCAGGCTCGGAGAGGTGGCCCAGGTTTGATGCGGATGCTCCGAGTGGCCTGCTGCTCCCACCAGCGCACCCCACTGCTGTTCAGCCTCTATCTGCTCTCTGTGCACATCGTACTGCTGCTGTGCCTGGGCGGATACCTCTGAAACCAGCGCCCTTTAACAGACCTGACAGATAAGAGACAGAGATAGCTGGAGAGAGGGGAGGGGAAGGAAAATGGAAATGTGACACAGACCTGACCCAAGCCATCAACATGTTAGATATTGTTACATTTAATCGTTTAGAGAAGGGTGTGAAGGATCCACACACACATACTGCACTTTACAGGTCTTAAATAAACTTAACATATTTTAACTAAAGCTTAGATTTATATAGGGAGCTGCTGTTATTGTTGAGTGTGTATGAAACACAGAAGACAGGACATAAAGGGAAGAAGGTTTAATTAAATGTTCTAAGTAAATCAGTGGTTTAGGGAAAAAATATAGATTCATAATCTAGTATTTTGGCAGAAGGTGTTTGTTCTTTATGTGCCTTGAGATTTGGTGTCATAAGCTGTTTTCACACATAAATTCTGGACTATGTCTGCGGAATCAGGTCCAGACTTTGTCCAGTTGCCCTTTCTTTCATTTTGCACACACTGGGAGACTTACAACCTGACGGAGTCACATAGCCAGTTTGTAATTTGGTCATAAACGACCGAGTCTCCTGACATACCTTAAATTTGACTAATGATTCTGGCGCCAGCTCGTGACAACAGAAGTTCCTAAATCTTGTTGTCTCCTGTTAGATGTTTTCATTAGTGTCTTCATTGCAAATGACCATTTTTCTTCACCGTGGATGTTTTTCTTCCGGTTTCACACCGGTCAAATCATATAACATCATCACCATGCCCACTAGCTCTGTGTGAATACTCCGAACTGTACACGGCTGTTTTCTCACACGGGCTCGCTCCAGCTCACCGGGACGTTACACAGACTAGGGAGCTGGCAGGGTAAAGTCCACTGAAAGTCCAAGTCGACTGAGTCGGACATTTGCGTTCTCACATACAGCTCCCCATGGTAAAATTTCCATCGCATGTCTGAAAGGAGCTAAAGTGTTGTTTTTGTTGTTGAATGTTTGAGGGAAATATGTTCTTGTCGTAGAGAACAATGGTGAGATTAGTTTGATAGGACTACTGAATATCTGTTAAAATTAGCCAGTTTAGTATGAATAATGGAAATGGCTCACTCTAAAGTACCTCTGAGGCGATATAATTTAATTTGTACAAAACAAAGACAACTGACCATTTAATGGTGACCAACTACTCACAGGTGACAAATGAAAGGAAACCTTGTCAACATAAAGAGTCTCAGTGAGGTGCTGGGCCATCACATGCCATCAGTGCACCTTGGCATTGACTCTCCTGGAGGGGATGAACACCCTTCTTCCAAAAGATGTTCCCTAATGTGGTGTTTTGATGGTGGTGGAGATGCTGTTATAAGATGTCATTCCAACATCTCCCAAACCTGTTCATCTGGGTTTAGATCTGGTGACTGTGATGGCCATAGCATATGATTCACATCATTTTCATACTCCTTAAACAATTCAGTAACTCCTCGTGTCCTGTGGATGGGGGCGCTGTCATCCTGGAAGAGACCACTTGTTGTTTTTTTTCGGGTTATTTGTTTAATTTGTCACCTGTCTGTATTTCCTTGTGTGTATTGGACCATTTCCTGGCTCTGAACAAGCAGCAACTCCAGAATGTTAGAAGTTATGATCAGGAAATAACACCCCAGCAAATTGCCATTTTTGCATGTTGGCAAACAGAGGTTCTTTTTGTTATATTTTTCAGATGAGCATTAGTTCTTAAGAGGACAATCCACAATTATTGAAAACAGCTAAGATCAAACAATGTCCCCAAAACTGAAAACCCATTTGTGTGTCAGAACTTCTCCCTTTAATTCTCACGACTAGACAAATTTACCCAGTGACTCTCTGGAAACACCAGCCGTGAGGTGGGGAACTAGTAAATCGAGTTATCTATATAAAGTAGTTAAAACCAGCTCCACCTCAAGCATCTACATCAGTAAAGTGCTATTCACACATTGATACATCAGTAACGGTCTAATAACTCTTTAACTCTCACCAGAAATAAATGGGCTTGATTCCCAAAATGTTGGTCTTCTTTTTAAGATGGCTTGAGGTTCAGGACGTGCTGCTCTAGTCCGCGCTCTCGTGCAAAAAAAAATGAAGCATCGTGCAATTTCTGTTCTTACACATTACTATTATGTATTTTCCATGCTTTTACACTACTCATGTAAATCACATAATTTGTACATATGTACATGTTATGTATGTCAGTTGAATGTTGGTTTCCCTCGTATGTATCCAATAAGATTCTGTCCAAGCCTCAGATTTAATTACAGTTTGTTCTGTAGTTTTAATGCAGATGACACTGTTTTCAGGTGCAAAGTTACCACAGTGTGGATTCATCTGGGAGGAGGAAGACTGCTGTTTTATTACAGCATGCTTCTTATGATAGACTACTCTGATGTAGAATAAGTTGAAATGGTTAAGTTGTCCATTATCTACATATACATTGACACTGTCCTCTGTTAAATCACTCTGTTGGTACAATGAGTGCTCTGTACTGATCTTCTCTCTAGATTTGTGTTCCTCACATCTGACATGCATACTTCAACAGTAAAAAAAAACTGAAAAGGGCTGTATAGAAAAATTAGAGTGTTTTGGGGGCAGATCAGGGACCTATCTTGTCGAGCATTAATTATTTTCTCATTTTGGTTTCTAGGGAACAAAAACAGACATTGGGGTTTTGTAAAAGGTACAATATTATTACTCTTGGGTTCACTGTTTATTGCTAGTCAGTGTACTACTAGTCAGTTAATTTTACTCTCATAATGACTGACATTTTTGAAAAGCTGGTCTACATCTCTTTAGGGAAGAAAGCATTGTATAAACACACGATTCCAATAAAAAGCACATTTAATAAAAATAATATTTTACCTGAAAATGAATTCTGGATGAAAGCTGTCTGCTGTAACTCTAGACTTTGATGTGTGTGTTTTAGGTGTTCAGGGTAACAACAAAAAAGACGTTTTTGCAGCAATAATAGCACAGATCTTATAGTCTGCGGTGTGACCCAATGCTAGTCAGTGTACTAGTGAACCAGGAAGTGAAAACGGTAAATGTTAAGTTTAGTGAAATGGTTTACCAAGAACAGACTCAGCTGGAGATGTAGGATAATTCGGACATCAGGGGATGCCTCTTGTCACACAGTGCTGTTTGCCTTGGTTATCATGGTGTCTATGGCTGTGTACTTGTAGGAAAACGTTAGTACAGTAGCACAAACATTAAATGTATATGTGTACTGTTTAAATATATATAGTTTTTAAAACATGATCGTTGTTCAGGATTATTATTGATGATTCTTTTATCTGTTTTACAGTTTGTACATAGATTTTTCCAGTACAGTATGTCTCGAAGAATCGTGAAAGAGAGGTTGGTGACTGCAGACTGAATGTTTATAATGTATAAACTTCTCTTTTTTTACCCCAAATTTTGTTGAATTGGGCAGAATATTCAGTAACTTCACTCTTAATCAGTGTAATGTCACCAAAATGATTTAAGACATCAGTCAGTTTCATACCCTCATATGCCAACAAATGAGCTGCATTCCAGTTACATTAGCAAGGTGGTGGGTGTTTTTAGTGTAAGAGGTTGTGTGTCATATAGTAAAAGAGAATACTGTTCTAACACCAAAATCATTTAGCAGATGCTGAAACAGAGACATGTTATGTCACTGACTGTCCTGTACTTTTTGGAGTTAAATGTTTTCTAGCTTATGAATAAAGATTTGTGAATACATTTGGGTGGTGCAGCAACATGTTAAACCTTTGCTTTTAAGGAATAGTTTGGTTTAAAAAAGCTTTACATGATCGAGGGGTCATATGGTATTAAAATATATTTAGATAAGAATCCGTACGCGCACGGTTTACGAAACCGGGGCTTGTTTCATGTTCATAAGTCCATAAACCATTGACTGTGCCTTTTCTGTATGCCTATAAACACATCTTTTGTTTGTTTTGTTTTTACTTGAATGTAGTATTTCTTTTTGTAATGCAGTGCATTTCAATTCTTTATCAAAGTCGTAAAACTATGTCAGATATTATTTAGCGAATACATAGGGACAGCGGTACTTCGGTTGTGTACATCAATGCGCGTTCACGTGGGCCCGATACTCGCTCACTTGTCGTCCATCAAACTGTCACAACTTGTCTGTAGAATTTCAGGAGCACTTTGTTGTAAATTCGACCTCAGCGTGGATGTATTGAGCTGACAGCTGAAGGTAATGCTATTAATCCTTAATAACCCACCAACAGGCTCATATACGCTTTTATTTTATTCAACTTTATTTAGGAAGTAGGTCTGGTGAGACGTGCTCTAAACTGCTGTAGTCTGACAAATGTACTTTTTCAGATGTGAGTGACTTCCTAGTAAAGTCCGAGCGCTATGGCTACCATAGTATTTCTAATATAATGTGCACTTGTACTGTATGTCCATTATTAAACACATTGCTACTAGGTTCCAGCCAACAACTAGCACTTATGACAGTAAAAATAAGATAGAAACTTAAAGATAAAATATCCTAGCATTGGTTCCAGACAAATGTTATGCCTCCCTCAAGAAATAATGTTATACAGTGTTGTAGAATTTGAAGGCCTACAAAATATAATTGCCTTAAATAATATGCTATGATACTATTTCTTCTGTATTTCTGTGCCCTTTTACAACTTAACACCCTAAAGTGTGTTTCATTATGGGGAAATGAAGTCTCATGTTAAAAATATCTTCACTTCCTTTTTAGGACTTCAGCAAATGGTGGTTTGTTGTAGTTGTTCTTTTGTGTCATCTTAAATAAACAGTGAACAGTGGTCTATGCACAGACATAACAGTTTGAATATGTGCCCTTATGAACACACTAATAAGCCAGCCAACACTTTTGAATGTAGCCATCTTGTGTAGTATATTATTGTTTTGTTTCCTCCTAGATGTGGAAGTCAGCAGTTGGCCACAGTGTGACGGTGAAGGTGGCTGCAGAGGGGGACGACTGGGAGACAGACCCCGACTTTGAGGTGCTAGGGTGAAAATGTTTGTTGGTTCACTTTTTGATTTCATGTGTCATTTTCTGCCTGAACTTTTTGTTTTCAGAATGATGTTTCAGAGCAGGAGCAGAGGTGGGGAGCCAAAACGATTGAGGGCTCAGGACGTAAGGAACATATCAGGTAAAACCATAAATGCAGTAGATGATTATTTAGAAGATGCAGGAAAATGCATGTCAAGAGTGGGTGCTGAGAAGCAACAGGAAGAGGAAGTGAGAGCAGAGCACAGGCTGTCAGGCAGCAGCGTGTCCTAATATGGGTAATGTATGATGATGACAAAACTTGGATGGTGAGATTTAAACCATCGTACGTTCAGGCAGTAGTGCTGATTGTAACAATAGGTGATTAGTCACTGATTTTTGATGCCACTATAAATTTAAAGGGTTTCCAAATTATTATTCATGGTTATCAGCCTATTCACTAATGATTTGCTGATGTTTATCCTCTTTCACTAGAACACTTAATTTATCTTTTTAGACAGTAATTTAGTTTGTCAGGTAGAACCTGTCTGTATCTGTACCAAAATTCATATAAGAACAGCTTATGAACATGCACAACCCACAGATTTGATGGTTTATTACAAAGTATTAAATCCATAATAGATTTTCACACTCTCACTAACTCTCTTTTAAAGAAAAGAGTATTTGGAGTAACACCGATCAATAGTCCAAGTTGCTAAGGATAAATACTACTTATCAGCATGTGTAATGGTGTGTGTGTGTGACCCTGTATGACCTGGCAGCGTTGCAGAACTCAGAAACAGGGTGACTGAAGAGCATGAGCAGGTGAAGCAGAAGGAGCACACTCCCAAAGCATCCTACGGATACGGAGGAAGGTTTGGAGTGGAGAAGGATCGGATGGACAAGGTTAACAAACTGTACTTTTTGTCTGTACTTTTATGCTCCTCTTATTTCCTGCCAGATTTGATCTATTTTATCCTTTATTCAGCATCCGCTGCTAATATCCACCGTATGCTGTAGTCTGCATTTGTTCATAAGCGTCGCTCTTTTATCCAGGTGGCTATGGGGCACGACTATGTGGCACAGGTTGAACAACACTCTTCCCAGAAAGATGCAGCACAGGGATTTGGCGGGAAATTTGGTGTTCAGAAAGACCGTGTTGATAAGGTGAGAAAACAAGCATCTTGTGTCCAGTAGTTAAACTTTTGAAATTAAAAACTATTTGCACATTTACAGAAAAAACATGTCATCTTTAACAGTTACGGGTTAACTGAACGTTTTGTGAGAAAATCATATCACACACTAATTATCATTCAAAGAAAAGTATTTTCAAGCAATATTCAAACCTAAAATGTGATCTCTGGGTTGTCTGTGCAGTCTGCCATGGGTTTTGAATATAAAGCACAGGTGGACCAACATGCATCTCAGAAAGGTAAATCAAATGTTGAGCTTCAATGGGACCATCTCACAATACAGTATTCTCCTTTTGGAAGTTGTTTCCTGAAATTTCCTTACAATCTGTGTGGTTTCAGACTACTCTAAGGGGTTTGGAGGAAAGTATGGGGTGGAGAAGGAGAAGGTGGACAAAGCTGCTTTGGGGTATGACTATAAAGGCGAGACAGAGAAGCATCAGTCCCAGAAAGGTGAGTTCAAGTTGTAGCTTTTGTAAATTTTGACACTATTTGCTTGATATTTTGCATGTGAATCATATTCCTTACAATCTGTGTGGTTTCAGATTACTCAAAGGGATTTGGAGGAAAGTATGGGGTGGAGAAGGAGAAGGTGGACAAAGCTGCTTTGGGGTATGACTATAAAGGCGAGACAGAGAAGCATCAGTCCCAGAAAGGTGAGTTTTAGCTGAGATGTTTGTCAATTTTAACACCTTTTTGCCTGACATCTGATTGCCTTATTTCTGTACTCTGACTCATTTTCATCAGATTATTCAAAGGGATTTGGAGGAAAGTATGGGGTGGAGAAGGAGAAGGTGGACAAAGCTGCTTTGGGGTATGACTATAAAGGCGAGACAGAGAAGCATCAGTCCCAGAAAGGTGAGTTTTAGCTGAGATGTTTGTCAATTTTAACACCTTTTTGCCTGACATCTGATTGCCTTATTTCTGTACTCTGACTCATTTTCATCAGATTATTCAAAGGGATTTGGAGGAAAGTATGGGGTGGAGAAGGAGAAAGTAGATAAAGCTGCCTTGGGGTATGATTATAAGGGTATGGAAGCCCATTCCCGCCAGTTAAAAGAGAAATAAAATGCTCTAAGTCGTTATTTCTACTTACACTTCCCTAAGTCGAAATTTCGATTTAGCTAAGTAGAAATAACTAGATAGCTAAATCAAAATTTCCGACTTATCTATGTCGAAATTCCTACATAGCTCAAAGTATCTTGACGTAAGCCTGTCAACCAGAAGTAGTTATTCTTCTTCGTGTTTTGTCGTTAAAGGGTGCTGCAGCTCTCTGTCTCCGCGCCAAAAACAGCTAAACAGGAAGAAGAATAACTACTTCCGCTTGACAGGCTTACGTCAACCTACTTTGAGCTATGTAGGAATTTCGACATATATAAGTTGGAATTTCGATTTAGCTATGCAGTTATTCCGACTTAGCGAAGTCGAAATTCTGACATAGCTAAGTTAGAATTTCTACTTAGATTTACTTAAGTCATTATTTCTACTTAGCTATGTCGGAATTTCGACTTAGCTATGTCGGAATTTCGACTTAGCTATGTCAGAAGTTCGACTTAGCTAAGTCGGAGTAACTGGCGGGAATGGGCTTCCATAACTTCCGCTTGACAGGCTTACGTCAAAATACTTTGAGCTATGTAGGAATTTCGACTTATATAAGTCGGAATTTCGATTTAGCTATGTAGTTATTCCGACTTAGCTAAGTCAAAATTCTGACATAGCTAAGTTAGAATTTCTACTTAGCTATGTCAGAATTTCGACTTAGCTATGTCAGAATTTCTACTTAGCTAAGTCGGAGTAACTGGCGGGAATGGGCTTCCATATAAGGGTGAGACAGAGAAACATCAGTCGCAAAAAGGTGTGACAACATCCACATATGCTTAATTTCAAATAGGATTTATAGTTGATTACA